ATTTACCATTTACCATTTACCAGTCCAAAAAGAAAATATCAGGCCCCAGGTTAAATATCAGGCCCCAGGTTAAAATACAGTTCATGCAGGTTGCAGATTTATTCCTAATAAAGAACACTGTGACTGTTTTTAGAGATTGTGTTACTGCAATGATTTATTTGAGTGTTTTTCTTGTCCTCTTCTTCTCTAGGTCACATCCGCGACCCCAACAACCAGGTGCAGGTTGTGAAAAACCTGCGCATCTGTGTCAACAATGTTGTGATAAGTCCAAACACAGTGTCTGCTGCCCTCAGTCCCGCCCAGTGTCGACTGCTTAATGAAGTGGTGTTATCCTGCCAGCCGCAAGAGGGTGCTGTGACCAATATGATCACAGCAGGAGACTATGACCTCAACTTCAGTGGTAAGGACTGGAGCTAAATGATACAGGATACTTAAAATCAATGCCAGTTTTGATATTTAGAAAATCAGATGACAATATATCAGCCTTTATGAATTTTTAAACAGAAACACGTAACACAAACCTTCATCTAGGGTAAGGATCCCTCCCTTACCTGTCAACTGTCTGGTAATTTTAAGTAGAAGGAGACAGATATTAAAAATACATCACTAAAATTTATAATTTTATAAGGATACAGGATTACAATGCTACACCGGTGGCCGTTGCACCACAGGTATTCAGATCCTGAAAATAGCAACACTGGCAACACTGACTATTTAATGTTCATGTATTATTCTATCCAGTTTATTCATAGGAGTAAATGCTACTGCAGAAACTAAACAAGTAATGTGCGGTGCATTAGAGGAGTTGACTGTAGTGGTTAGCTTAGCACGCATGGCTGATGCAACGACTTTCACTCTAAAATATAAAATAAACAAATTAGGGGGCATGGTTTATTGTCATTTAAGTAATTTGTTATTTTACATGCATATGAGCACCTCACTATGAAGTCACGTAACAGACCCGCAAACAAAGACTCTGGGCAGCTCATTTGTGATGCTTTCAGGCCACTGCTTTCAGGGATGAGCCAAGAGTGGAGTGCTATCTAGTGGACAATCTACACAGTAGCGCCAGTAATAGAAAAACAGCTCAGGTACACATTTAGCTTTCCATTACTTTAATTTCTTGCAAGTTATCAGCTGTCACAAATACATACCAATTTATCTGCAATAATCTAAAAATTTGCTGATAAAAAAGTGTCCATCTGTGGGATAGATGAAAAAACTATATTTAATCTCTGTTGTTTGAGTTGAGCTTAGACTATAGACATAAATACTGTAAAGTTGCAGGTTGCCATTATTTACCCTTTGTCAACAGGAAAAGGGGCAAAACGTTTAATGTTTGTTCAGATCCCTGTCAGCCGCTGTAACAACAACAGTAGCTCTTCCTGGGATCTACACAATGTATTTGCATAAAAACAAAAGAGTGACATAATATCTGACACAATAAGACTCGACAAACACTGAGTAATAGATATGGTGCCGGTTAAGCTGGAAGCTGGTTTTAGCAGCTCCGAGTTTGTTTAGTTAGTGTTTGTTAAACCATCATTGAACAATCATTAACCTTGGACCATAGACACTAAACTTTTTATTTACTTTTTCACCATTTGAATACTCATGGTGACTGTTGACTGTTGACTGTGCTGCTAGACCACTGTTGTCTGCACTCGAGAAGAGTTGATTATGGAGGCATAGTATTTACCATGTGAGTTCTTATGTTACTGTTGTGGTCGTATACAGTACATCCCACACTCTGCCAACGCAGATGCAGCGTGTGAATGCTGTTATAGTCAGGTTCTGACCTAGCACATTCATTATAATCTCTGGGGATTTTAACCATATCACCTTGAGAAAAACTCAACACTGAAAGTGCTGGGACTCTGAACTGGAACACCTACATCTCGAGAGCACTCTTCACTGTGGCAGTTAGGACCACAAGCTAGTCCACCTCAAGATAATTAGTCCAGCAGCACTTTGTTACCACAGGAAAGAGGAGATGGAGCTATGTTGGACTGTTTTGAAATGACAGACTATTAGGTCTTTGTGAGTCACATAGGGAGGATATCGAGTGTCTTTCACATTGCATCTCAGATTTTATTATAATTTTATTTAATATATGTTTTCTTTGTGTGTGTGTGTGTGTGTGTTTTCTTGTGCATTTTTGTGTGGCCTGAAGGGGCTACAACTGACATTTCATTGTCAAAGTGTAGTTAGTAGGAAATGAAAGCCCCTGTTACATTGACTGAATCAATTGTCAACTGTCAGTTTCAGACTTCTATAATGCTTCTCCTCCCTGGTTTTTCCATTGAACACCTGTAAATTAATTTTGAATGTGGAGACCTTGAAAGAAATGGGATTTTGCTAACATAAGCCCTGGCTCTGCTTCCACCTATCAGATCACTCTCTTAAAGCTAGCACCCCCTGGTACAGTGCCTGGAAAGAAACACTGTTGGAAGTCAGCACCTCCAAGCACTACACAGGTATCAAAGTCTCCTGGCTGATGTGTGGGTAGTTATAGTCCTCTTAGCTCTGACACACCTTCCCTACTCCTCTCCCTCTGGTTTCCAGTAGCTGCACTGTCTTGTGGGCGTCTCTATTCTTTTGTTACAATGTAGTGGGTGCTTATTTTTTTGTATTTATTAAGATTGGTGAAGAATTTTATTTTTATTTACATTTGAACCATAATTTCCATGATTCAATTATCCTTTAATTTTACCCTCAATTGTGAAGTAGTTTGTATTGTCTGATTGAATATGTGAACTTTAAATTAATCATTGATCCTCTATACTATTTATTAATTATGATATAATAATTATGAGATAACTGCTGATGATGGTTTACAGGTACATGTGATAAACTAATAGTACAGGCACTATAAACAGTCTCTCGTAATGACAGCTCTTCTGGTGCTGTTGGAGAACCTTGATGCCACACAATCATTTAATTGCAATTTTTCTTTGCTGTCCTAATTGACAAGTCTAACAAGTCTTGGAGCGGGCTGGGCACATCAATATGCACATATACATCCATTTATTAGGAATTTAACAATATATTGCGAGACAGTTTAATCAATAATAAAACATTTAATTTATAGAGTGCTTTTTAAGAAACTTGAAGACACTTCATAGGAGTTAAAAAGGAAAAGAAAAAGCTAAAAACAACACACTAAGAAATTCTAGCTTTTTTACAACTGTCAACAATAACTAATTGTTAAAATCATTAAAAGTTGTTCTGAAAAAGTGGGTTTTGATCATTAATTTTAATTTGGATGGATCAGTACAGTCACGGATTTGTTTGGGGAGAAAGTTCCACAGGGAGGGGGCAGCAATGGAGAAGGCTCTGTTGCCCCA